GTTTCCTAAATAGGTATAGCATCCAATATAAGCACCAAGGATAATAGTAGTTAACTAGGTGAAAATAAAGTAAACATTATTGTGTACACAGTTACTGAGGGAGAAAGTGCAAGGTACAGTTGTGAAACTATTAATAATTCTTTCTGGTTATCAGTAGTGTTAAGAAGACAGATCAGTAATAAATATTTTTTAAGGTTAGGCACTTGTGGCCTGTCCTGGTTCAATCTCCAGAATCACCTGGTTCTCCAACATCAAAGGTTGAACGTCTGAAAATCTGAAGATAGAGTAGCCTGGGTAATCACTGATGCTGTGGGATGCAAACAGCACCATATTCTTGGACCATCCATTGAACTTCTTGTCTAGTTGACCAAGAATCTCAAGTAGTGAGTTCTGAATTTTCTGAGCACCACTTGATGGGTCCTTACTCCCATATAACACAATGGTGTTAAAAGATGAGCTGACCCGTGTGTGCTTAAAGCATAAGTATTTATACTCTTATAAACCATCTTATCTCAATGTATTTTTTTCTGTAACAAAAATTTAATGAAGAAACATAAAAGAACTAGAGAAATAAACTCACATAGGGCTTTAAGCATAAAAGAAAATGCATCTAGCCCCTGAAGGACAGAGAGAAATCACTTGAGGATTTTAATCTGCCAAGTAACATATTTCAAGTCATATGACATGAGGTGCCTCTGGCAAATGATAGAAGAAAATAGACTTACTAGGGTAATTTTATAGAAAAATCGAGGACATTGACTTATGTTATATAGTGCTGTTGTCAGAATGTACTCTGGTGTAATACTGTTTTAAAAATCTGAAATCCAGATCACTTTTAACATAAGAGCACAAAGATCATGTTAGATCTATGCTAAAGGCCACATCCACTCCAAATTCACCAGTCTGGCATCACAGAAAGCAAAACTTGTATGACTGTCTCACTTCTCTTTGAGTATGATTTGTGACTGAGACAATAAGCTCGAAAATCTTTTCACCATATGTGGAATTATTCAGTTTTATCAGAGCAAAAAATTATTACAAAATAAATCTTTCTCCTCCCAGAGCATTATCTGCTAATTAAACATCTAACTGAAGAAAAGTGCAGTCATTTAGAAAGCATTCTTTAGCATGTCTATAATTCTCAAGGAGAAGACAATCATAAAACAAGACTTTTATTATGAAACTGAGCTGAGCTCAAGTTCAAAATTTTCCTAAAGAAGTAAATTTGAGCTCCAATTTTAACTAATATAGCTAGTAGCTGTAAAGATTCATTCATTCATGATCAAACTAAAGAAGACAAGGAACTAGAAATTCTTTATTTGAAACAAAAACTTGTTATCAATGAAAAGTTTAGAGTCTCTGTCAAAACATTCAAATTTATTCAAATGATACCTTCAAAATTTCAAATGAGAGATGATATTTAAATTGTACGAGCTAGAGAAAATAGAGGTAGCTTTTAAGCATTGACTGTTTTTCCAATAATATAAAGTAACAATAAAAAATGCCCGTAAGCTGCAAAAAAGGTGGGGGAGCTGGAGCAATAGCACAGTGGGTAGGGCATTAGCCTTGCATTCAGCCGACCCAGGTTCGATTCCCTGCATCACATATGGTCCCCTGAGCACTGCCAGGGGTAATTCCTGAGTGCAGAACCAGGAGTAACTTATGTGCATCACCAGGTGTGACCTTAAAAAAAATGCCCAAAAGCTGGAAAAATAGCATAGCATAAAAGTGTATGTGTATATATATATTATATATATATATATCGGTCACGGTCCTCCCGTTACTCATCGATTTGCTCAAGCAGGCCCAGTAACGTATCCATCGTGATACTTGTTGTTACTGTGTTTGGCATATTGAATACGTCACGGGTAGCTTGCCATGCAGGCAAGATACTCTCAGTAGCTTGCTGGGCTCTCTGAGAGGGGCGGAGGAATTGAACTCAGGTCGTCCATGTTGGGCTGGAGGGCTGGAGTGATAGCACAGTGGTAGAGCATTTACCTTGCACGTGGCTGACCTGGTTGACCCAGGTTCAATTCCTCCGCTCCTTTCAGAGAGCCCAGCAAGCTACTACTGAGAGTATCTCGCCAGTATGGCAAAGCCTGGCAAGCTACCTGTGACATATTAGATAAGCCAAACACAGTAAGAAGTCACCACATATAGTTGAAAAAATACATATATATACATATATATGTTATATATATGCAATGACACTTGAAACTTTTAAAGATAATACTTAGTTTGACAATTTGTTTCAACTTCTTTTGTGTTCACGTTAAATTTTCTAATATTGTTAAAATTTCTTTTTTTTTGTTTTTAAACATTTCAATTATTTTACACAGCATGTATATTAGAGACTCATTTTTATGGTTCATAATTAAACTTGGACTTTACTTAAAATTTAAAATATTCCACTAACATTTAAGTTTAAATTACATAGAATGCTCAATATCAGTTATTATAGCTTAGAACCTTACATGATTATTTTGCAGAAAATTAATATCGGCATTTTTCTGTGATATTGATGTCAATAACTGGAAAATGGTAAAAGGCTACTGTATCATCCATTAATGATGGTGAGTTGAATGTAGACAGTAATGACTGGGGAGAAAGAAACATAGCAACATGCTGGCTAGGTGACTTTGACCCAAAGCCGGTGCTTTCTATGTAAGAGCCAGAGTCGATCCCTAGAACCAAATGTTTCTAGTGGTAGCTTCATTGGTTGTGTTTCACTACTACAGTGAAATGTCTCCCAAGGATTAGCAAGTGTGAACCTGCCCTCCCCCACTCCCCACCACAAGTCCCCAACACACACCATACCACTGATTCCGAAAATACTGTAATTTAAAGTGGAGAACATTCATACCTAATTCCAGCTATATTCTATTTTAAGAAGTTGTCCTTGCTCAAATTGACTGAGAAGTTTGGCAACTCTTTTCTGGGGCACTGGAGTTCAGTGAATAAGGCAGATGAAGCAATGAATGAAAGAAAGTTTAAGGCTCATCAAAAGGATACCTTACAATTCCTTAAACCTGAGCTACTTTTAATCTTACCAGATCTAATATTATTGAATGTTATTGTTTGCAAATGAGGTTAAGAGATATTCCTAATCTCACAACTAAAAAGAAATGCAATGCATGCATGCGAAGGTTTGGCATAATTCTCTACTTCTATATATAGGAACATATGTATTCTGCAGAAACATTTTGCAAAACGTTATCCTGCAAATTCATGGGCACAACTAATTGGAAACCATTGTTCTTTACAGAAGTAAATGTCACCTTGAAAAATTTCTTTAGATGGGTTAGCTATGGGTTTTGCAGTGTTTCTTTTGACCATACCCATGGGTGTAGGGCTGGACTAAAAGGACCATGTGGAATGCAGGAATCAAAAAGAGATGTGTGCAAGACAAGCACCCTCTCTGCCACACTATCTTTCTGGCCCCTTGGTGAGTTAGTTCTGAGTGAATCATGAGAGATCACATGACTTCTCTAATCTGTAAATGATAGGAGACTCTAATCAATATGTGCGTATCACCGTATCACTGTATCACAGTCATCCCTTGTTCATCGATTTTCTCGAGCGGGCACCAGTAACGTCTCTATTTGTCCCAGAACTGAGATCTTTTGTGTGTGTGTGTGTGTGTGTGTGTGTGTAATTGTACTGCTATTTATTCAGCCACTGATTAGCTGATTAAATTGTTCATGAACTCCGCTGAGCACTGAGATCTTAGTAGCCTCTCCTTACTTGTCTTTCCCAATGACTGGAGACTCTTTCAGGGTCAGGGGAATGAGACCTATTGTAGTTACTGGTTTTGGCATATCAAATACGCCACAGGGAGCTTGCCAGGCTCTGCCTGTGTCCGTGGAATACTCTTCGTAGCTTGCTGGGCTCTCCTATATATATATATATATATATATAATCTGTTGCCTACTGTCTGAACTCCATCAAACATGGTGTGGTACTTATGGAAAATGGGTAGGAAGTGTCTTATGATGTGTACAGAGAACGGCCTGGAACTTGGCTGTGGTTGGGTAGTGGAGGTCGGCTGCTGAGACTGGGTCCCTTTGGGTAGGGAGGGCTCTGAACCACCCCTCTCTGGGGCACACTGAGTGGAAACAGCCTGGTGGAGTCCAGTGGCATGGTTCTGGGGGCTTCATTTTATACTCCCATCTGAGAAGAGCATCTGTGAGTTCTATAGGGTGGCCTGTGAGGAGATTATCTGGTGCCGGCAGGGTATGGCTTAGGGTTGTGACTCGTGGGTCACCGGGGACTGGGGGAAGCAGGCAGAGGATCTCTGCTCCGGGGTCCCATTGAGCCCAGAGTCCAAGGTCACAAAGTTTTGCATTACCTGGCTTCCGTGGGACTTCTTGTGTGAGGCTCAGCCCAATCGTCCGGAAAGTGGCCTGGAGTGTGGCAGCAGTTGGGTAGTGGAGGTTGGATGCTGGAGCTGGGTCCCTTGGGGGTGGGGAGGGCTCTCACTTGCCCCCATCTGGGGTGACCCGAGTGAAAACAGCCTGGCACGGAGTGCTTATAAAGCACTTGAATTTCTGATGCTTCTGTTTTCACTTCTCTCCTATTTGCTTACATCTATAGAAACTCTACTATACCTAGTGTGAAAAAGAGGGCATGTATGTATCTTCCTCCTTTATCTACTTTGCTATATTTATTCCTTTCCTCACTCTGTATCATTTGAAAATTGTTTTATTCTCCTAATTACCAGAAAGGCCAAAAGTATTAAGACGCTTACCAAAGAATTCGTTTTTGCTCTGATTCTATTTTCTGTTATTTTTCTTGAGAAGATCCATAAACAAGTCTGTTTCCCAGTGCAAAAATGACTGTTTCGGAAACCGAATGGCACTGATGTCTTGTTATTGGTTTACTCTTCCCATCTTTAAGTCTTTTAGAATTGCCAACTAACACTGGTTTCTAAAGAAGTAGGATATCCTGGAGTCCTAATTTGAACAAGCACTGTAGATGTTTTCCTTTGAATTTTATTCCAGGTATCTCTACCACAGGACCTTTCGGCGTGGGAAGCACCACCACCAGTACCACCCTCCGGACCACAACTTGGAACCCCAGCAAGAGTACTACCCCTTCCATGTCAGGAAGGAGAAACCGGAGCACCAGCACCCCATCTCCAGCTGTGGAGGTGCTGGATGACATGACGACACACCTTCCATCATCTTCTTCCCAAATTCCAGTTGTGGAGGAAAGCTGTGAGGCTGTGGAAGCACGGGAAATCATGTGGTTTAAGACCCGCCAAGGACAGATGGCAAAGCAGCCGTGTCCCACGGGAACCATCGGTAAGTCTGTTCTGTAAGCCAGAGGTGTTATCTTACTCTGACTTGTCTTTTCTATTTATTTATTTATTTGATTATTTGGCTTTTTGGGTCATACCCGGCATTGCACAGGGGTTACTTCTGGCTCATGCACTCAGGCATTACTCCTGGTGGTGCTCGGGGTACCACATGGGGTGGTGAGAACTGTACCCAGGTTAGCCGCATGTAAGGCAAACACCCTACCTGCTGTGCTATCACTCCAGCCCCTATTTGCTGGAGCGATAGCACAGCGGTAGGGCGTTTGCCTTGCATGCAGCCAACATGGCCGACCCGAGTTCGATTCCTCCGCCCCTCTCGAGAGCCCGGCAAGCTACCGAGAGTATCTCGCCCACACGGCAGAGCCTGGCAAGCTCCCCGCGACATATCTGATATGCCAAACACAGTAACAACAAAGTCTCCAATGGAGATGTTACTGGGCCCGCTCGAGCAAATCGATGAACAACGGGAGGACAGTGACCGTTTATAAGGTAGTTCACAATATTTCATTACATTTACTATTTAAACACCAATCCCACCACCATTACACCTACCCATCATTAAATTTGGGATGTTTCTATACCAAGCTCTAAGCCCTGTCCCAAAGCACAACCAAAATAAATATATTTTGTATTGTCTGTTATGAAAAATGGCTTAAAATGCTAAAGAAAAGTCCATAGAGTAAACAGTGTGAAGATTGTTCTATTTTCGCAGGGGCCATTAAGATATTCTTTATGATATCACTAACATGTTGTTAAAGGCTGAGTAATGTGCGCTTTCATATATATATATATATCTGAAAATATGCATATATATTTTTCCCTCTATGATTTGTTGCCATCAAGTGCGGTGTGGTACTTATGGAAAATGGGTAGGGAGTGTCTTATGATGTGTCATAGAACATCCGCACATTCTCGGCCTCGTGGTTCAGGATTACATCCACTTGTATGTGAGGCTCAAGGCCTTGAGCATGGTGGCGATTGAGTTCTGGAGGTTTTCGGCTGCTGGGGGTGGGTCACTTAGGGCAGGGAGAGCTCTCACCCACCCCCCTCTGGGGCGCCCCAATTAAAAAAAAAACCTGGCACCTGACTTGTCTTTTCTAGTATTTTCTTTCCTGTTTGTTTCCCATATCAGTTGATAAATTCATAGTTGATTGAATTCTGAACTTCAATGAATTACAGCAAAATCTATTTCCAGAGTTTGCAAGCCAACTCTGATAAAGCCCCAGTGGGAATCTGGTGGAGATGTGTGTCACCTCGGGAGTCCTACCCCCTGGTCTGGCTTTCCATGGCCAGGCTGCTCCAGGGGCCTGACTTTTCTCTGTGGTCGCCCAGAGTGAACCACTTGACTGCTGGGATTTATTCTCTTGCTTGTCGCCAACTTCAAATGTTGATTGCAGAAATTGAGGTCAAGGATGTTTATCATAGAAGATGATTGCTGAAATTGTATAAAATTTAACACAAGAGTCAGTTTGCCGCTTTTTTGGATTAGTCTCTGTAGCTTTGATTTTTAGAATCAAAGGCCTTTAACACTGCGAGGGATCGTGTTGGCAGGAGCCTACCTGACATATATCTGCTAGAGAGGGCAATCCTGCACTACTTTTCCTAGGGCATAATTAAGAACTAATGAGAGATAGTACAGAGGTTAAGACACTTGCCTTGCATGCAGCTGATCCTAGTTCCATCCAGACACTACTTAGGCACTGCTGAAATGACTTCTGAGCACAGAGCTAGTAGTAGCCCTTGTGGACTCACAAGACCCCTCCTTGCTAAAAAAAAAAAAGGAACTAGCTCCTCTTCCTACATTTAGTTGCTGATGTCATTCATAATGTCCTCAAATGAGAACCACAATGTTATGTATAATTTTAAATTAGAAAAAATAATAAATTTATTTTTATTATTACAAGCATTGATCTTTATAAAATAAGTTTTGTCTACACTGAAAAAAACAAATTTTTTAAAAAAATAATAGTAAAGTAAACACAGTAGCATTACAATTAAAGGCCCCCTCCCGTTGATCGTCGATTTGCTCGAGCGGGCCCAGTAACGTCTCCATTGGAGACTTTGTTGTTACTGTGTCTGGCATATCGAATACTCTCGGTAGCTTGCCGGGCTCTCCGAGAGGGGCGGAGGAATCGAATTCGGGTCGACCATGTTGGCCGCTTGTAAGGCGAACGCCCTACCCGCTGTGCTATCGCTCCTACCCAGCATTACAATAAACAAAATAAACATACTGTAGCATTCATTGGGATTATATGTTTGAGTGTTACTGGTTTGGTACAATACATAGTTGTTGTTGTTTTTTTTTTATTTTTAGGGAGTGCATAGCAACTGGTGCTCAGGGTTTACCCCTGACCTATGTAGTTCAAGTGCCTTACCCAAATGGGTAAGGCACTTGAACTACATAGGTCAGGGATAGTTCAAGTGTACTATCCCTCTGGCTCTATAAGGGAACTTTTCTTTTCAGAGATCTAATGTGGGGGCTTTAGGGACAATGCAAAGGTTTGGAGCACAGGTTCTGCCTTCTAGGGATCAGATTTGGTCTGTGGCATTGCATAATGCCCTAATCACTGTCTGGAGTGGCCCACACACATCAAGCAGGGAGTAAACCTTGAGTACTTCTGGTATGGCTCAATTAAAAAAAAATGAACCAGTTTAAGTTCAAATGGGGATTTATCATTTAAATTGCATAGCATATGAAATGATAAGAAGATCAAAAGTGCAATGTTTTTCCAAAAGTACATACCTATTTTTCTCTTCAGCAAGGCATATGAAATACTCTTTAATATCCCTTCCCTTATGAGAGAGGCTGTTGTTCCGTGGTAAGATATTCTGTGGTATTAAAATCAGAAAGGAATATGAATCTGCTTCCACTCAATGCTGTCTGACTAGCCCCTCAGTTCTGTACCTTAGTTCCTTCATCTCTAAAAGAGAAATAAGAGTCACTCCATGCAAAATCCTTGGTTTGAAAATTAGTCAAGTACTTTATTTGAAAGCACTTTTCAGATTTCCAAGGACTTTAGAAGTTGATAGTTATTGTTTTGCGAAAATTGGAAAGGCCTGTCAACAGAAACCTGAATAGTATTCCCTGGTGCTGGTATACACACATGGTCTCCTTTTATAGTTCTCAGTTCAGATCCAGACAGATTCTATCACTGAATTGTGCCAGTAGTGTCTCACTACTCCTCATGGCTCCCTCACATTTTTCCTCACATTCTCACAATTTTTTTTCCTAAAACCCAAAAATAGCCCATTTCTCTCCACTCCTTTGTGTTCTTAGGTGGTTTTCCAGTACCTACATATCATATACTAAGGAGTTTCTGGCTTTACATATATTTCCAATTGCACTAAATACAACTCCCTCCTCTGGTTGACCTAAATTCAAAATATATGAAGCTTCCCAAATAGAACATCCTTTTCTTCACAAACACCCTTTCTGGCTGTTTTTCCTTTTTCTGCTAAAGATTCCTTTAAGATTCAACTGTCCATTTTCCAATGAATAATAATAGGTTGCAATAAATCAGATGCCACATCTGTGTAGTTTAAGATATCATTCCTGATGTCAACATAGCTGCCATGAGTGGTTATAAATATTGAATGTTTTTGTAGGTTGTATTAGTTTTCACCTAAACCAGCTGCATGCAAAGCATTGTACATGATTTTTAATAGATAAAACCTCAGATTAGTTATCTCATTTTTACCATGGCTCATACTTAGACATAGAGTGGATATACAGTTGAAAGGAAAATGGATTGAATAAATGAAACATGTCTATTCCTCTCATTATTTTTAGGAGTATCAACGTATCTCTGCCTAGCTCCTGGAACCTGGGACCCCCAAGGACCAGACCTCAGTAACTGTTCTTCTCCTTGGATCAACCATATAACTCAGAAGGTAAATCTTGTGACTGACAAGGAAGACTTTACAAAACTGAAGTTCTGTCTTCTTCATTACAGTTGCTGCAAATACAATAAAAAATACTTTAATGTTGAAGAGTACTCTCATTTCAATTTAAAAACAATCACAACCTCTGGTATATAATATCAGCTAATGAGCTAATTTCAGGATGCTGTGGTTCTTAAAGGACAAATCCATAAACTTCTTCTCTGCCAGACTGACTTTCTAATCATAAATGCTTTAATAATAACATTTCTATCATATTATGAATACCCCAAGTGATGTTATAAATCAAGCAAGCAAAAGATCCCCAATACATACGTATGGATTTTCTTGTGGAAATAATAATTAATGTAAATAAAGTCTACCTTTGCAATTTTAAGCTATTTGATAAATGGTCTGTAACCTAATCATTTATCAGTGTTAAAAGTATACACATGTGTGACAGAATCTTGCAGACTGAAATGTTCAGGACTTATTTGGTTGCAATATGTTGAACATTTTTATTATTAATGCACTGTGGGGCTCTGAATTGATTTCATTACAAACAGATACCAGATGTGCATATATGCCAAAAGGGCTAGGGGATGAATCCTTATTATAGCAATTTGTGTGGATTTATGCACTCCTTAAAATGGAGAGTCCTTCTATGGCACATTAGCTGTGCTAAGGAATTTCTGAAAGAGTTTTTCCTGAGAAATGTTACAAATGATGGCCTTACTAAAAGCTAGTCAGTGCCTTTTTGCTCTTTCCTCTATTTGTTTTTAACCAGGCTCAACCTCCCTAATATACTGTATAATAATCCATAAATATCTACTCAGTAGATCGTTTAGCAGATGAGCCATAACTATCTCTTTACCCTAAATCATGGAAGAACAGTGGTTATATTAACTCTAGTTACCCTCTTACATATTCATCTCCAAACTTGTTGCTATTCATAATAGTGCTTCTCCAATTTCAGCAGTTCCTGCCACAGTTTTTATGTCCTTTGATTTTATTACAGTGTAGCTCAGACCCCAGGGCAAATAACTCTTGCTGGATGTGATCAGATTAAGAGATCAGTAGCATATCTCCTTACATTAGCAACTTTTAAAAAATACTCCCTACATGTTTAGCCCAGGGGTTAATATTAATTCAGCAATAATTCAGCAGATAGCTGAGTGTTTTTATGATAATTCCTGAATCTAGTTTGACTATTTCATTGCAGAAATTACAGGGTGGCTTTAACCGATAATGACCCTTAATTCTTTTCTTTACTCTGCAGACCTGCTAATCTTATGACAAAAGAGATAATTCCTTACAAAGATCAGGCAGCTGTTGCCCATTTGATTTACAGATTTTTTTTTATTAATAACAAATACGGTCCATACTTCCAGAACATTTCTGTTTAATGCTGTAGAATTTGGAAAATTGTGTTATATCATAATTATGTTAAGATTATGAAATTTGGTACTTAGAACTCATAATAATACCTTAGCTTGATTACTCATAAATTTATTACATCTTCAAAAGTTTATTAGGAGACTTTGCAGTATTCTAACTCAGTTTAGGTAACTAAGGGAAGGTCAGTGTTGCACCTAATAATGTAGTTGGGTCTAGCATTATTAAGCTTAACCCCACAGTAAATAAATTTCTTTACCACAAACTATAATACTCTCTAATACTAAAATTGTAAGCCTCCGAAAGAATACCTCTGAGAATATGAGCTACCTGCTCTCCAGTTACTCGCTGCATTTTCTCTCCCTCTTCCTCAGAGGATCTGCTATGGAATCCCTGCTTTCCTCATTGCTTCCTTAGTACCAGAATCCCAACAGGCAGATGAAGCCTATGAAAAGGTTTGTTTATAGGAATACTGAAAGAGAGGAGTCATACCACAAGAGATTGAGCCTGAACCCTGAGCTTGTAACAAGGGCAAAGCTCTCCACTCAACACCTGTGCCTACTGGGTCAAAACCGTGACAATAGTCTGAAATAAGAATCAGTCTGGAAAGGAAAGTTAACAAATAGACTGGAGATGCAACCTCACTTCAGGACACTTTTTTAGAAAAAGAGATCTGGAGCAATAAATGTAGTGGTCTTCCTCTCCCACGTTCCTCTTTCACTCCTTCTTCTTCATTGGCCCAACCCAAATGGAAACCAGAAAGAGTCTCTCTACTAACTGTTGTGTAAGTTCACTGTCTGAGGCAGACAATGGGGAAAGACAGAGCAGCCTTGAACTTGATCACTTGACTTTCCGTTAATCATTGCTTTGCTCGAGTGGGCGCTAGTAACGTCTCCATTTGTCCCTGTTGCGTGCTAGTGTAGCCCAAAGCCTTGAACTAGCAAATGGAAAATAGCCGCCCTCAGCTTTGATCCGTTCTTTTTCTGTAGCTCCCCTTCCAATCCCCTCTCCTCCTCATCCCTCCTCTACCCCCTCTCTTCTGCTTTGACCGTGGTCCACCCTTTCTCTCCTAAAGTCATCTACCATGTTGAAAATTTTAAAGTCCAATAGACCTGTGTAATGATTCCTTTTTTTTCTCCCAGCTCTTAGTTAAGTTTTACAAATTTCAAACTTTTCAAAGAATTTATTTGCCTGGGGATGGGGGACATTAATGACAAAACATGCAAAGACAAAAACTTTTTTTACTGTGATTCATAGAAACATGACATGTAAACAAGAATGTACCCTGGAATGCGATGTTCTTCCTCTATAGTTTTATAATGCTCTGAGAAATTGCTTAGGGCTTTAAGGAAAAATAAAATCTGAGCTATTCTCCCCAAATCTTTAAAGAGAAACCACTTATTTCATTATCCATACTATTCATTCACTGATATCAGCCACCATTACAGACAACAAACATGTATTACTTAGTGAATACAATGCTTACTTTAATCAGATGAGCAAAACGCTTAGTTTTTCTTTTTCTTGAGAAATGAGTGTTTTTCCCCTGCTGTAAGGCCAGCAGAGAGAAAATTCATAAATAGTCATCGATGTTTAGCATTTTCTTTTCACTCACAATTGAATTAAGGTCACTTAATACTTGGTGAAATTATAGATTCAATTTTGACTGTAATAGAGAGTAGGATATGTTTCACTGGACAAAATTTAAGCCTTTAAGGTCAGAATGTCACTAAAATTTGTTTTAAAGTAGCCAGGGTATTTTCATAATCACAAAATTTAATAGAAGGTATAATTTGTACAGGAAGAGGAAATCAAGTTACATGCGAGCAATCTTTAAACCAGCAATAATAAGGGGGAGGAAAAGGGTGGAGAAGGAAAAACAGTAGTAGGTGGTAAGAAAAATGAATTATATAAAGAGCAGTACACAACTGGGGGCTGAGGAAGAGAGAACTGTTCTAAGATTAATATATTAATGTTTTACAAATATTTCCCAATTTTTATTAAAAGTCAGCCAATTAATAGAATGTTTTGCCTCCTTAAACATTAGTGGTAAAATATCCCATTTTCTCATCTTCCTTAATGAAAGCTCACTAAAACCATGGGCTGTAGCTTTAACTTGAACTCTTCAATTTAACTTATTTTTCAAAAATTAATTTTATTTTGCTTACCTTTAGGCAGTTTAATTTTATAATCCTTCCAGACTATTTTTTCAATTTAAAATTATTTCAAAGTATAGTTTTAAATAGCTGTCATGCTTATTTGTCTATTAAGTGAGATTAGCTTTCTATCTCATTACTTGGCTCAACTATTATATGAAAATACAATGCCTTATTTTCTGGGAATACTTTTTGGGAAATTATTTTCTTATTTCTAGAAGATAAAGATATCTTATTTGTATACTGGCAAATTTCTAGATTGAGTTCTTATACTTTCTAAATGCGAGTGTGAAATTTTAAATTGTACTACTATTTTATAATATATACTAAGCCAGTTATTTACCCAGAAAAGTTAAGTTATATTTTGTCTCTTAGGTCTTAATTCACTATCTTTCAGGTTTTTTTTAATCTTACATGAAATAATTCACTGATTTTTAAATTTAACAGAGTAATTTCAGCTTTTCAAAATTGTAGTCTTATTTAACCTATATTCATTCTTAAATCCAAAACTGTTTTCTTTGCCAACATGACTAATATTTATAGAAAAATAGGTAACCCAAATGGGATAGCTACATAGTTACACATTAAGAATAATTCCTTCATGAAGTGTTTTTGCTACACTTTAAATGATTGATGTGATAAATTTATAAAAATACCCACACTTATTTTAAGGAAAATTGTTTTTACTTTGCATCAAAATTTGAAACGTAAATAATATGCATCTCTGTCATAATTATTATCTTTAGCTAAAGCTGCAGTTTTCCCTTCCACTCTTTAAGCCCTAGATTTAATCTCACCATTTCAATGAGGGCATTAATTCACTAATTCTCTGAAGACTCCCAAGGTTTCTTAGTGTGTATGTCCTTTTTTCTGAGAAATAAGTTTAGTAGAATTTGGTAAAAGAAATGTTCACGATAGACAGACATTTTAATGAGGTCTGGAAGCTATGCTATATCGAGTAACGATTTCAACCCTGACTCTTTGAATAGAAGATTTGAGGCAAGCTCAAGATATGAATAAGTTTCTATAAGAAATGAAATCATTTTAAAAGTCTCTAACTTTGGTGAGAGAAATAAATATGGTGAACAGAGAGAAAAGGAGCTTTGGAGACCACAAGAAATAATAGCAAATGAAGACCTAGTGGAGAAGAAGACTTTGGCCTTGAACATAAATCATGGAATCAAAGCAGTTATAGAAAGGAACTGCCATCTGGTTATATAAATTATAAACATGAGGATATATTGGTGTCTCCCTTCCACACATCCTACTGACTATTGGCTGGTAAATTTGCAAATCCTTCTCAAATCAAGCCTCCTTGCACTTTTCCCCACTGGTAGTAACTAACCCTGTCAATAGCAGATTCCTCTACTGCTGGAACTTCTCAGCAGGTTGCCCTTCATTCACTTCTTTATCCTCTAATCCATTCTCCTCAACAGATTTCAAATACAAATCTGATTTAACCACTCCTATTTAGACACTTTAACTGTCCCTTTCTCTTAACACAATACACATGTTGACTTGCTCTCAAACCCCATGATCCATGACACTCCATACTCAAATCTATTGTGTGAAGTTTCCCACAATCCCAATTCTTTTCCATTGTATCTCAGATTAAACACTTTTCCTCAGAGCACAATTTCCTAAATTATTCCCTAAATGTCATAGTGCAGTGAAACATGCTTTGAGGAAGCAAAGATAGTACAGGTGTTTAGACACGTGCCTTTCTGGTAGACACATTGATCCCTGTTAAATTTCAGGCACAGCATATGAACCCCCAAGTATGGCTAAGGGTCATGTCTGAGCATAAAGCCACCATTGACCCCTGTTAAATTCCAGGCACAGCATATGAACCCCCAAGTATGGCTAAGGGTCATGTCTGAGCATAAAGCCAGGAATAGTCTCTGATTACTGGCTTGTATGTTCCAAACCCCCATCCCAAAATTGATTTCATAAAGAATGAAAATGCTTTAAACTTGCTCCATGGCACAGGAATACTCTAATGCACCCAACAACATTGAAATGTAAGAACTGTGTGTAAATTCATCCAAAGCCTTTTCTAATACTGCTAAACTTCCCATTTCTGGGAAGCATTTTTAATCACTATCTTCAGATTGTAGCGGAATGTTACTAGAAATTTAAATTTTGGTTCAAGGACAAAAAAACCTTTAAACTAAGTGTCAGAATGATTAAGCTAACATTATGTTAACAAAGAGAAATTGATAAAGAGATGAGATAAAGAACTGCATAGATTCCTTCTGTGTTTTAGGATTTATTTATTTTGTACTGAGGGCCATTTTTGACAGTATGAAGAGGTTATTCCTGGCTCTGTGTGCTGGAGTGACCCCCCAACTCTGGCCAGCAACCATGGAAAAGAACCATGGAAAAGAACCAGGACTGACCAGAGGCAAGTCAAGCTCTATATAGCTCATTCCATCTCTCTTATCCTGAGATCTTTTAAGAACCAGATGCATATCTATTTAGTAATGGAGGGGCATATACATTTTAGGCTCATAGTTATCAATAATGAGTTCGGAAGATAGAAAATATGATTTTTCTTCCTGTAGTACTTTACTTGCTATACCCTGCCTTCCCAAGTCATAGTTATTTTAGGCTTTACTATTTAAATAGGGCTGGAGTGATAGCACAGCTGGTCGGGCGTTTGCCTTGCACACAGATATCCCGAGTTTTACTCCTCCGCTCTCTCGGAGAGCCCATCACTCCGCTCTCTCGGAGAGCCCATCAAGCTACCGAGAGTATCTTGCCTGCACGGCAAAGCTCAGCAAGCTCCCCGTGATGTATTCAATATGCCAAACACAGTAACAATAAGTCGCACAATTTGTTGTGAAACGTTACTGGTGCCTGCTCAAGCAAATCCGTGGATAACTGGAGGACAGTGCTACAATGCTAATATTTAAATAGCATCCTCTTGAACTCCTCAGTATTTGTCAGTATTCTGTCTCACCCTGTGCTCCCTAAGGCTAAACTAACTTACTCCCTTCTGTTGTCTTCCCACCCCATTACCAGGTATTTATCAGTACTCTACTGATCATCAGTTTTCTCCTGATGCCTCATTTACATTTTTGTTATTAGAGTCTCAGTTGCATTACAACTTTAATATTAACTAGATATATGCATCTCTTTCCCACTATGCCTGTTCAGCCAGTGGTAGAATATATGCTCCCTGTTTGCAAGCTCTGGAGAGCATATTGCTTTGCTTTCTCAGGAAAATAGGGCATGTTCAAATGGGCTGAATGAACGAAATATGATTTTTTCTATTATAAGACTAATAGGAGATCAGAATGAATAATTTTATCAATGTTTATTTCACCTTAAAATCACTTGTATCTTTGGCTTTTTTTAAAATAAGTTTATTGTTTTATTTTTTCCTAACAACTTTGTTGGTGAAAACTGACCTTCAGAGTTCTCCTCAGAGATAATTAGATACATTCTTCATAAAGAGTTTGTAAAAACTCAATAATTACTGGAGGTTTGGGAGATAGCTCAAAGGACTGGAGTGTGTACTTAGTGTGCTGGAGCCATTTATTCAAGCTCTGACCCTGCATGGACTCCCACAAGCAATGCTCTTCCATACCCCCTTGCCCCCAAAAATGTAGCTACTGTTTTTAACAAAACCCACTGATGATTTTTCATTCTTGAATCATTTTTAATCATTTTAATTGCATTTTTAATCATTTTTAATCATTTTAATTGTATTTTATTTATTTTTGGTTTGGGGGCCACATGTGGTGATGCTCAGTGATTATTCCTGACTGCACTCAGGAATCACTGCTGCAGTGCTTGGGGGGGGGCATATGGATGCCGGGATCAATCCCTAGTAACCCTCATGCAAAACAAGCTCCTTACCCTCTGCAATATCTCTCTAACCCCTCTTTACTTTTATAAGTTGTTATATTTACTATATATCTAATATATATACAATATATATACAAATATTATATATATATATATACATATATACTACATACTGTAGACAAACTGGCAGGCTACCGAATGTAACCTGCCCACACGGCAGAGTCTGGCAAACTCCCCGTGGCGTACCCAATATGCTAAATACCAGTAACAATGATGGGTCTCATTCTCCTAAAGAGCCTTGAATATAGCACTTTCTTAAAAATCTCAGGGCTAGGATGAAGCAGACGTTACTGGGGCCTGCTCGAGGCAATCGACGAATAACAGGATGGTCGTGACGAATTCATGATTCGTGACTACATATTACAGGCTAGAGCAACAGCACAGCGGGTAAAGCGTTTGCCTTGCACACAGCTGACCCGTGTTCTATTCCCCCGCTCCTCTCGGAGAGCCCAGCAAGCTACCAAGAGTATCCCACCCACATGGGAAAGCCTGTGTGATGTATTCGATATGTCCAAAACAGTAACAACAAGTCTCACAATTTGTTGTGAGACATTACTGGTGCCTGCTCGAGCAAATCGATGAACAACTTCAGGGCAGTGCTATATACTGTTATGTGTACTGTATATTGACATATATGTATGATAATTAACTTCCTGTTGGAAACAGTCCTGAATTGTCTTTATGTTGTGAGCAGCTATTCTCACTTGTTCTCATTTCAGCTTTTTCATTACTGTGACTAAGGAGAAGTCTAAACTTTTAATAAGAATATAACTTATAACCCCCCAATATTTAATTATTGTATTGAAAACTATACTTGTACAACTACTCAAAAAGTGGACTTTTGATATGAAAAATGCAAATTATTATTTCTTATATTTCCTCTGTTATATCATTTGCTTATCTTAATATTCCCTGATATAAATCTTATGTCAGTATTTGCATGCTTATTTTTGATGCTGCTGTGTGGAATAAATAAAGCATCTGCCTAGTTCTGTAGCTCTGAGACTGTTTTTAACTCAACCCATTTTAGTCACCCAGAAGACTCCAGAGGTCCATCTGCCCTGACATTTCCTCATAAAAAAAAGTATCATGTGGTAGTGCATAAAGGAGAACAGTACATTAGTGACAGTGGTAATAAATCATTTACAAGAACACAGTGTTTCACAGAGTAAGCAACAGAAATTCTGCAAATATTTCATTGTGAGATTAACTTAGGTGGAAAATGATAATAAATACAAAACACTTGATGTTGCCCTGTATAAAAGAGCATCCCTTCAGAAAAGTGTAGCAACCCCAGCTATCTGAATATGCATGTCGACAGAAGAATTTTTGTTTGAGATGTTTGTGTGAAATGTTCAGCCTTACTGGTAAAATATGAAATTTGAATATTAATGAATGCTGACATCTCATTAACTAGTGTACACTAAGTTTTATAAATCATTAACTGATGTATTAGACAATGAGTGCCTTCTAAAGAGATGAATTTCAAATCAGGTCTTCAAAAAAAATGCATTGACAGGTAAAACCTGGGGAATCTTTTTTTCCAGCCATAATGGAATTTGATGCTTTTTTTTAAAACCTTGATGCTGTAACTCATGCAAAATTCACTGTCCAAATAAACCAACGAGGTTACTAACGGTGTTTGTCTTTTTCTTTTTTTTTCTATTTCCAAACTGTAGTTGAAATCTGGAGAGACGGCTGCGAACATTGCTAGAGAGCTAGCTGAACAGACAAGAAATCATTTGAACGCTGGGGATATAACCTACTCAGTGCGTGCCATGGATCAACTGGTAGGCCTTCTGGACGTGCAGCTGCGGAACTTGACCCCTGGTGGCAAAGACAGTGCTGCCCGCAGTTTGAACAAGGTAAGTAACTTGGTTGTGTAGATGTCTGTAAAGTTCTAGTGAATTCAGTGCCATTTCCATGATTAATTTCTGTTTATCCACATTCAGATAATTCTAGAGCGAATGACTAGGTATAATTAATTCATAGTATTCTTTTCTTTGTAATAATACTGTGTTTGGCTCTCAATTAAAAACAAAAAGATCATCTCCATATCTATTTTGAATTTATCATTCTATTCTCTATATTCTATGTTGAATGCTAAATTGCTTTGATATGGAGAAATAGTAATACTTTGTGTATTATTTCCCTTTCAGACACTTATATAAAATAGCAGTAAAACAAATACCAGGAACCCGAAAGATAGGAAGGGGGTCAGGTGTCAGTTGAATCCCTGGGACTGCCCATATGTGGTTCCCTGATCACTACCAAGAGTGATCCCTGAGCAAGGGCCAGAAATAAACTCTGAGCATTGCTAGGTGTGGTCCAAAAGTCAAAATTAATAATAATAATAAGGTAAAGGCCCTCCCGTTGATCGTCGATTTGCTCGAGCGGGCCCAGTAACGTCTCCATGGGAGACTTTTGTTGTTACTGTGTCTGGCATAAACACCTAAACAACAAGTAAAAATTTAGAAAATATCAAAGAAGAATGTTAAGAATCAGTTATTGTTGGTTTTCAAATAAAGTGATTTAACCAAGTTAATACTGTATTTCCAATTTGATGGGGGCATTGGGGCTGTCGCTGAGTGGTCAGAACATACTTGGCATGTGTCAGATCCCAATTCAGTCTCTAATACTGCGATGAGAAAAAAAAATTGATGAAGGGATTTTTTTTAATTTTAATTTTGTTTAATTATTGAGTTATTTGGATTTGCACCACTACCATTAAAGTTTCAATGGTTCAAGGGCCAGACATATATGTCAGAGTGGTAGCTCCTGTCTAACATGTTTAGGGCCCAGGAGTTCAGTCCCTGGCCACGCATTGTACCCACAGCACATAGAAACTGTGAGCAGAACACTGGTTGTCCCTGAGCACTTGGGCAGGATTACTGAATCTTCAGACCTGTATGCACAGCATCACCTGCGTGGCCCTGCCCCCCACAATCCCCATCAAGAATCACAGGGCGTGGTCTTGATTAACATAGGCTTAATAGCACAGCCAGTAGGGTATTTGCCTTGCATACGACTGACCTGGGTTCAATTCCTCCGCCCCTCTCTAAGAGCCCAGCAAACTGGAAGTATCCCACTGCACAGCAAAGCCTGGCAAGCTACCCATGATGTATTCCATATGCCAAAAACAGTAACAGTAAGTCTCACAATGGAGACGTTACTGATGCCCACTTGTGCAAATTGATGAACAATGGGACAACAGTACTACAGTGCTAAGTCTGTTTCAGCAAACTTGAAAAGTAAAGGATTCATTTTTGCATTCTTAGGGGAGATGCATTTTATGTATATAAGATGCAATTTACTTTAAAATAAAATTGATATTAATAAATAAGTTTTGTCTGTACCCACATCCATAAATTGTTTGCTCATATAAACCTTTATATGAGCCTTATATAACCTATCCGCTATGTAAGCATCATTTATTTATTTTATAATATAGAAGCATATTCAATACAAGAAAATGACAGGGAAGGAAATATAGTACAGCAATGTAGAGCTTTTGCCTCACCTGAAACTGACCACCATCAATTCCCAGCATGTGTATGTCCCCAAAGACCCTCCAGTAATGATTCCTGAGCTCAGTGTGAAAGCCTTGGATATCACAATAATGTTAGCATCTTATGCATGGATTTGACAATGGACAGGCCAGTACCTCTATGTAATCCATTGAAGAGTATTTTGAATTAAAAAAAAGACTATTTTTATTTTGTTTATTCATTTTGGCTTTTTGGGGTCAGACCTGGCGATGCATAGGGGTTACTCCTGGCTCTGTATTCAGGAATTACTCCTGGCGGTGCTCGGGATACTGGGAATCAAACCCAGATCAGCTATGTGCATACCCGTTGTGCTACCACTTCAATCCCCAAAAAAAGACTTTTTAGAGTGGTCCTTAAATATGATTAGTTCTTTTGTATCTTATCAAATTGAGTTCCATCACGATGGAAGGATATTTTCAAATAATGATGATCTGGCAAAGAAAAGGTAGGTACCTATGGTCTCAAATATTGTTTCTTCTGCAATTTCATTTTCAGAAGACAGATTGATTCTTATGTATTAGATATAAATTATTATTATTAAAGCCACCCCCCCCCCCCCACAACTGAGCATAAAAGAGTCCCTTTGTCTTCTGTGTCCCTGATAGAATATAATCCACAGCTGCCTATGTAATCTGGGGCATGCTGTGATTTTAATGGGTTAGCACTCAGGCTGTCTCGTGTTATTAATGAATATTGCTGCCAGCTATTGTCAATGTACCGCAAGTATGATTTTTCTTAATGTTACATATCCATAAATCACCTTATATACCAATTCTTTGTGTCTTTATTAAAAAAAAAGGTGTTGATGTCTGATGAAATGAGGTAAAGATGGCAATTAATGTTGCACTCTAACTGGCTACAGCTAATCAGCTTGCCTATTCTGAATATCAAATAACTACATAATGGGTAAATTTCCATTTCTGAAGCTTTTTAATGCTCTCTTTTGTTTCCCTTTGGCTCTTTTTAGTTGTTTATATAATGTGGTTTGTCATATGTTAATTTGCATGATAGGGTAAGGAGATGGGAGGGCAAAGGTTATTCACATGCTTGCTGGCTTGCTCCCTTTCCCTGCAGTTTCCACTCTTCCCTGAAGCAGTCATACCCCCTTGATTTGCAAAGTCAACTCCACACAAATCAATTGAGCTCCACATTGAAATTCTAGAGGGTTTAGGGTCCTCTAAAAAGCAAGATTTGAGTCAGTGATTCAAATGACAACGCTGGCAATTTACTTGCACTCATTCCTCTCTTAATTCTTTAGAGGAGTAATTGCTCTGTGCTTATTGAAGAGTGCAGGATTTAAAGTTGAGAGAATATTAGCCACAGAAAGGCATCAGAGTAATTGCTTCTTAAAATGTGGGGACGCCTTTTCATCTCCAACAATCAGGACAAAAACAGCAACAATACCAACAACAAAATAGAGGAAGAAAACTGATTTATAAAATTTGGAGTTACTACAACAAAGCAAATAATCTTTTATCACTAGGGAAAATGTCTGGATGTAAATTGCTGCAAACTTTTGCCCAGGAAAACAATACAAATAATTTAAATATACAAAAATCAGCTTCTTATCTTACTGAAAGAAGTCTCTAAATTGTGTACATTTTGGGGATCCCAAACAAATTGTTCAGAAACAAAACAGATATATCGGACACTTTATGATTTTTTTTTAAATTTGATGTTACTTATCTCTTGGCATTTACTTATCCCATGGAATCACATAAACATAGTGAATAATGATTTCAATTTAAATAAAAACAAACAACAATGTTTTGTATGTATGAACATATGGTTTGTGGTATATTAACCATCTACAGAATCTGTAAACCACAAACTATCTTGAAAGATGCTTTCCAATTTTAACATAACTTAGTTAACTCTGTCTATATTTGTGGGCACTGAATTAATAACTAATTTAATGTGAAATTAATCATTTGATGTCAAGTCTATTTATTTTTACTAATTTCAGCTAAATTCATTCCAAGATTCCTTTCCATCATTAGCAGCTTTCTACCATCCTGTTCTCTTGGGCCATGAAGGTGTTGGTCATTGCTTTTCAAGCCATTGCTTATATTTTGCTACTGCTTAGCTCTCATTTCTTCTAGAAAGTAGTGCACAACAAAATGAGGTGTTTTGTGTAGATGTGTTCTTTTATTTTTCTTGTTTTCTCCTGTCACTAACTTGTTTTTTCTATTCTGTGTTTAATCTGCTGTCTTAATGGATTCAGCTTCAGAAAAGAGAGCGCTCTTGCAGAGCCTATGTCCAGGTACTTTATGCATTTTTATAAATGTGTTACGTTGTTAATTGTCTCTTTTAGTGATGGCATATCTGGGCATCTCCCAGAGCAATGATAATGTGCCTGATGAAGAAAGGAATTTCAAGGGTGAAGCTTGATGGGTGGGACAGGAAAGCCTTCAAAGGTTAACATGCTTAGAGAAATTTGGCCGTACAAATGCTCTGTCATTTAAAAAGGAAAAGGAAATTAGCAGTGTAAATGTTGGTCACCACGGAAAGATGAGTTGGGTGTGATATGTCCTGGATAATCATTCATACATTGGGTCAGCTAGTTTGAGTAGCAACTGATTAAAAAATTATCACTGTCACTTAAGAGAAGAAATAGTCCTGGATATTTGGAATGTCCTGATTCTTTATCAAAATAGATCTGTTTGTTGTCGCAGAAAATGCTGTGACTGCTTCACTCACTCATTCATTATACACACGTTAATCCTGATGTAAATGTAGTTTTTCTCCAGTTAACATGTTGCTTAACAATTACTCCAAGCAAAGTTAAAAAAAAATGTCCCTGAGTTCATTGTGTAGAAAAGAGTATACCCCAAGCAAGCTTGCAAGTTCTTTTCGCAGGAGTGAAAGAAAGAAAAAGAGGAAGAGTAGAAAGGAGAGAGACAGACAAGGAGGAAAGGAAATTCTGGGACTGTATGTTTCATTTTCTGTGCATATATCATACATTTTTAAGTGAAAAAAAGTTGATTCTTAAAGATATGCCCTCAAAGTCTCAGTTGTCTTCATGTTCTCAGATTGGTCATCCTGAAACGAAACTATGTTGATTTCTTCTATTATTCAATAAGGATATTTTATGAGTCTCTCGCCTAGAAGAAAAACATTTATCTTTTAATTAATTTTTATGTAGGTATCATATAAATGATATCATATAAATTTTCAATAATGTTGAAGTCTTTATTTGAAATGTGCAGAGCCATGACAGATGCAAGTTCTATCCCTGGCACCAAGATGGTCCTCCAAGTAATGCCAAGGGTCACTCCACAGCGCAAAGACAGAGTAGTTCCTGAGTGTTGCTGCATATGGCCCACAAACAAACAAGAAAGATGAATAATATTTCAAAGAATTTTAAAAATATGTGTTTAATATTGAACAGAGAACAGAAAGATAAACTTTTGATTTGCAGTTTGTAAAATAATGAACCTGCGTATGAGAAATGAAAAGCTGTATAATCACTGATAACTCATTATTAGTTTTGAGCAATATCAGAATTTTTTTTTTTTTTGGCAATCAATGTTATCCTTTTAATGAAGGACCTTAGAGATAATTAGCCTTTTGGAATTTGAATCTATAAAATGCATGGTCATTCATACATGAATCTCTGATGAAAAATTAATAGCTTTGATTTATTCAATGGTTTATTTCCTAGTGTTATAATTAACTGACTATAAATACATATTTCAGCTATTGACTAAGATTCAGATTAAGCCAAATACAAGTAGAATATTTGCAAAGCAGGAATGCCACGCTCTCTGATATAATTTACATCTATTTTCTTTAATGTAGGTCACTATTCTGCAGAATCTTAGACCAACAGATATCTTTCAATTTTAGTCAATTTGATTTTAAATACTTATCTTATGTTCCTTATTGTTTCAGTGTTCAGAGCACATGCTGAGCTATTTAAGAAGTAGGTGTGAAATATGCTTTGAAGTGTTTCATGTGTTGCATTGGGAAAAAATGATGATAGTTTTTATCACCATGAGATTCATTTTAAAATGGTTTTTCATGATCATAAGCAATGAGCCTTCTAGAATCAGTTTTGACGATCTAAAGCCATTTAACTTATTATTTAGGTACAGCGTATCCTGTTATGAATCATCTGTCTCTTTAAGTTTTACTTTCTGAGTTTTTCCTTTTTAAAAACTACAGTGAATTGTGAACTGTCAGTGAGCAACTATGATAATTGATTAGCATAAATACAATTTAAAATATTGATTTTTAAAATATTGTATAAATCTCTTAAAACTCACGTGCTGCCATCTCAAGAATTTTAAGATAACCAAAAAATATATATATAATATAGTTTGTTTTTCTTTTTTCAGTTGTAATTCAATTTTATACAAAATTCTTATCAAAATCAAAACAAAAGTTCACATATCATGGGAAAAGTATCGTTGCTATATTTCTTGGGTAAATATAAGATATATATTGGGTAAATATGGTTTAAAAAGACTGAGTGTGTAAAATAAAATATACCTTATACACATTTGCTGTAAAGTCTCACAATGTTACTGGGCCCACTCGAGAGCAAATTGATGAACAACGGGAGCACAGTGACAGTGATACTTAAGAGTTTATTTATTTATTTATTTATACTTAATTAAGAGTTTATTTCTAGAGATGGCCCTAAACTTGTGTATTCTTCATTCTTCTAAGTAGTTATCTTTTGAAGCCCATAGGTCTTGACTGACCTTAGCTATAAGCAACAAAATGACAAATACGGAAACCTATTCTAATCACCTCAAGAAACTCCCAGGATCCCCACCCTGAGTCCTGCTATAAGTGATACCATAGCATGAGTCAGGAGCACTGTCAGATGTGTCCCAAAAAAACAAAAAGAAAACAAAAGCAAAAAAATTATTACTTAACTCAAAGTAGAGAAAATGGAGATCAGGTAAAAGTTTCTGAGTTATACCAGATTATTCAACAATGATTACAATGTCTCACACCCAGTGATGCACAGGGGTTACTCCTGGCTTTGCACTCAGGAATTACTCCTGATGGTGCTCAGGGGACCATATGGGATGTTGGGAATCAGACTCAGGTTGTCAGCAAGCAAAGCAAATGCCCTACCCATTGTACTATTTGCTCCAACCCCACCATTGTTCATCTTTTAAAAATTAATGTTTGTTATCATTTTTCTTTTTTGTTGTTGTTTTGGTTCTGAATTTGAGGGGCCACACCTGTCAAGGTTTAGATTTTACATCTAGCTCTGGGTCCAGGATTCACTCCTTACAGGGTTTGGGGGACATTATGGGGTGCCAGGGATCGAACTCAGATCTGCCTTGTCCATAGCCAGAACATTACCATTTGCACTGTCTCTCAGACCCCCATTAGAATTATTCTTTTCTGTAGAAGAACTGCTAAGAATTACCAATACCCATTTTTTTATTGCTTTAAAAGCAGGACATTATACTAAAAAGAAATATATTTTTATTTTTAACAGCAGGTTCTTTTGTACTCTGAAATTTAGAGGCAGTATGTACTCCCAAAAGAGTCAGCATTCAACTTCACCTAATAGCAAACATAAGTACATATATTATTGATGTGAATCTTTGGAATCATCTCTTTAGAGCATGCTATTATCTGCATAGTCCAGTCGACAACTGATAAGTGGGGGGGAAAATAGAGGCCAGAGAGATAGTCCAGCAAGTAAGGCATGCTTGCTTTTCATACTTATGACCTGGTCCCATCCCTGTCACTCCATATGTTTCCCTGAGCTCTGATAGGAATGACCCATGGTCCGAGAGCCAGGACTAAGCCCTGAGCACTGCTGGGTGTGGCTTCAAAAAGAAAACAAAGAAGGAAACGAAAAAAGGTACAAGCATGAGATAATAGTCCAGTGGTTAGGGCATTTGCTTTGCACGGAGCTAACCAGATTTCGGTCCTCGGCATCTCATATGGTTCCCTGAGCACTGCCAGGAGTAATTCCTGAGTTCCTGAGTGTGGAACCAGGAGTCACCCCTGAGCCTGACCCAAAAAGAGAAAGAAAAAAAAAGAAAGGTGTAAACATGAAAATCACACATAATTAGAAAATAGATAGATGCAAATTACACACACACACACACACACACACACACACACACACACACACCCTGTTTTTCTTCCTGATCCCTCCCCCCATTTGTTTTTTGAAAACATGTACACGCACTGGGTTTTCTCCTAGGTAGGCCATGTGCAAGGCAAACACTCTACTTACTTACTCTTACTTACTTATTGCCCAGGCCCTCTTTCTTTTTTCCTTCCTTTTTAAAGTTGACCTACAAGCTTTATAAAGTTTAGTAACTATTTGAAACAGTCTTTTTTAAATTTGGTATAAGAATCCTGCATTAATTTTATTTATTTTTTTTCGCACAGCTTACACATTTATTATATTGCAGTAACAGTGCAGAAATCATCTTTCTTACATTGACCTGTATTCACACAGTTGGAATAAAAAGTATTTAAGGATTACTAGTTGAATAACTGTATACAACTATATATCCTATATATCCTCACGCATGAAGGAACTGGCAGAGGAACCCAGGTTTGGGGGACCCGGGGCATAGATCTCCAAGCTTGCTCAGATTGGGACTGGGCCCCCTCCACCCAGATCCGCCCCCCCCTCTTTCAGTATGTAGGCGTTACACCCACCAACTGCCACTGGTGCCATGTAATCCCATCAACGTCCAAGACCCAGAGATTATAAAATGCAGCTCCCTCCGGAGAACGTGGCAGGCTACCAAAAGTATCCTGCCCACATGGCAGAGTCTGGCAAACTCCCCGTGGCGTATTCAATATGCCAAACACCAGTAACAATGATGGATCTCATTCTCCTGACCCTGAAAGAGCCTCGAATGTGGCACTTTCTAAAATCTCAGGGCTAGGGCGAAGGAGACATTACTGGTGCCTGCTCTAGGCAATCGATGAACAAAGGATGACAGTGATACAGTGAACTATTTTATAGGATATGGCAGTATTACAGTGCCCATAAGCATACTGTTTTCTATCCTGGAGTGAAATTTCTAGGGTTTAAAAAAATTGCATCAAACATGTAAAATATAAGCTCTGTTCAATGATGAAAATTGTTATGAATGAAAATAAGGCAAGAAATGATTTACCATAGTAATTGTTGAGTAAAATGCTGAAGGAAGTAAAGCAGTAAATTATGCAGCTATGCAGAAAAAGCGTTCCAAAAGAGTAGAAACTTCTAGATCTGTAAGTGTGACTATAGTGTTAGAAGTCCAATGCAAATGTAGCTGAGTG